CCCCCCCACCCCCGAACCAGCCTAGAAGAGGAAAAGGACTCTTGCCTCAGGCAAGGACTGTGGGAAGACCACAAATTCACTAGACACATCACTATCCTGCTAGAAGCAGACATACGTTAACAACACAGGAATGAGCTCAACAGCAATATGAGAGAAGAGGTGCCACAAAACTGCATCAGGTTAACTGTCAACTAAATGGTAGAAGCCAGCGTGAAGGGGGAGGGGGGTGGGGGGCACGCTGACCAGCATGGACTAGAATGGTCCACAAGAGAAAGCCTGAAGGGGAAGGGCTGACAGCAGGGAGGAGTTTGTCACCAACTGGCAAGACAGACTGCCATGTGGGGTGTCAGCAGGCAAGGGACTCAGAACATTTTTAGGCAGCCTGTAATTTAAAAGGGAGGAAATGGAGCTGGATCCACGCTACTAATAACAGGGCATTAGCCACAGTGAGGGAAGGGGATGCCCAGGGGACTCTCCTGCTGGACAACACTCCAAACCCGGGGACGTCAAGGCAAGGCAGTTGCCCAGAGCAGACACACAAGGAAGAACAAGTAGTTGCAGTGAAAGCAAAAAAGGCAATCAGGGGTTGGGGAAATGGAGCGATGAGTCATTCGAGGCCACAGAAGGCCACAAAGCACCCAAGGAGCTGAAAAGGGAAGCACTGAGGCAGGGAGAGGGAGAGAAAGGAACCACAAGCCTGTTAGCTCAGGGTCTCGAGAGGAGCAGATCGTGTATACAAACTTTATTTTTCCCAAACGAGCCTAATTTGACCCTTTGTGAATCTGGTCTTATCGGTACAGAAGCAGATTCCTTCCGGCTCGAGGCCACGTACTAACTGCACGACAGGGCACATGTGCCTCCCGGCCCGACACTTTCACATGGTAAAGGTCTCCCACCCCGATTCTTCCTCCTCACCACATATGCAGTCACTTGATCTTACAAACAGAAAACCCAAAGCAGAGCATCTGCTCCAGTGGTTTTCAAACTGTCCCTTTCAAAAATAATTCATTTAACTTTCCCTCTAGAGTTGGGCTTCTGTCAAGGAAGCTCAGTTTATGAAAGAGAAATGCAGAACTGTTCTGGTTATACGGGTAGGGACAACTTCCTCTCCTCTGTCAGCCCCGGAAGAGAAACCTGAATGCCACTTGAAACTGCTGATCCGGGTGGCCCCACGGAGGGCAGAAGAACTTGTCCAGTTATCCCCTCCCACTCCAGAGCTCCCACCGCCCAACCGTGCACGTGCTCCACACACGCCTGGTGTAAGGGAAGAGGCTGCCTGCCTCTTCAGCACTAAGAAGGCTGAATGGAGGTGCTATTTGGATGCCCTTGAACCCTTCTTCAGGAAATCTGAGCAGGCAAGCGATGGAGGAAACAAGTATCCGGAAGTTGTTAAGCGACATAAACTTGGTCCACTTCACAAATACCTATGTGCTCACACCTGGGGGTGGGGGCCCTGAAGTAAAGTGCATTGCTGCGGCTCACATACTCCCTGGGGTAGTGGAAGCCTGCGTGTGGCAGAGATGTGGGGGGGGAAGAGAGTATAAGGGACAACATCGCTCATTTCCTTTTATCACTAATAAAGTGAAATCCTACTCATTCTTCAAGTGTCGACTTTCATCCCACCTCTTCCCTGAAATCTTCCAGAGGTTCCCATCCAGTTTTTTTCCCCTTCTCAAATCTTCCATAACGTGCATTTTCAGTCCTTATCTGACACTTAAATAATAATACAACTTCCACATGTCTGTGTCTCATCTCCCCAGGTTCCTCAAAGGACAAGGCAGGGATTTTAAAGCAGATGGGGGGGGGCTGGCTCCCGGGAGGCGCTGGCTGTGGCTGGCCTGGCCGCAGGAAACTCCCAGGCCAGCTTGTGTTTTACATTATTATGTGCCTCTGCTTGTCTCTCATGGTGCTCCCCAGATGTTCGGTGTGTGTGCTCGGGCTGCACAAGTGGCTTCCAGGATACCTTCTCTTGCTATTCATGCTCCCCACTCTGGTCCATGTGTCCGTCTCTGGGTTGTAGACCTCCACAGTGCTCAGCCGTAGCTGGCCGTCATACCCTCCGATGGCATACAGAAGCCCGTTCACCACAGCCACACCGACACGGCTGCGGGCTGTTGTCATGGGATGGCACTTCTCCCAGCGGTTGGCGATGGGGTCGAATACTTCTACCACATTCAGGGAATCACCTGCATAAAAATTTGCTACTCAAATTAAAACAAATGAGACCACGTGTTTAGATCACGGCTGTTGGGCATTGATTATATGGAACGTTTGACCTGACTCTATCAATTTTTCCCACAGAATTACTGGAGCCAGATGGGCCCACTACGACATTCCAGCTGTGTTAACCTCAAACCTAATTCTTCAAGGAAAACCAGAATCAGACAAGAGGCATGTACTTTCTAGAGAGGGCAGTTTTACAACTGCAGTGAGGTATTCCACCTGCTTAAAGCCAAAGATGGGAAATGGGCACACTATCCCCCCCAGGGCAGGAAGCATGCCTGGAGGGAAGGGGTGGGTCCCCTGCTGACTTTCACTTACTAGCATGTGACTCTGGGCAAGTTGCTTTGTATTCTTACCTTCTATTCTCACACATGAAATGGGGATAATCTCTGTGGCAGCTTTGTTGTCAAGATCAAATGACAGAATAGGCAAAGCACCTAGCATAGTTCTAAAACATACTAAGTTCTCAATAAACAGTAGTTACAGTAGCCAGGAGTGATTCCAACCCTACCTTCATACAACAGGTTTGTTTGTTTGTTTTGTGGATCAAATAAGATAATCCACCTTCCCTGTGTTATTCTGTTGTGGGGTACCTCATACCGTCCACACTTCAGCGTGTACTAGTTAAGGACTTCCCTTCTCCAGGTCACATGGTTAACAAGCAGCAGAGACTTGTACCCACCTCTCATTAACCTTCAATTAAAAATGAAGCTGCCCAGGATTGCCCACCAACGCCCCACCTCCACAAACCGAGACTGACACTGAACCGGCCTGGCCTTCACCTAGATGACAATCTCACGCCACTGTACCACAAAGATTCAGGCGCCACGTTACAAATCTCTCCTGCCCTGCAGCAGTGCCTGGGTGGGCAGGAGGGCAGAGGGGCCCACAAGCTTTCCTGAAAACTTGACTGTGTAAGAGCTGCCAACAACATACGGATTCTGAAGCATGTGTGCTTTTCGTTGCAGGTAGGAAGTGAAAACAGCATTACTGATAGTGGCAGAACCTGTGTATATGGAGAATTTTCCTTCTCATGGGGACATGGTCATAGTCTAACTCCAGAGATCCGTATGACCAATGTGATTAGCTTGGTAACAGAACTGGGTGTTTAACTGAATTCTACCCAGGGCTGTATTTAGCTCTGATATTCTGATTCAACGGTATTAACATCTGACATGCTTTAACTGCAGTACAGTTGTACAAAATCAAGAGGGACCAGGGTGGTGACACACGAGGGAGGGGAACCAGAGGGCCGGGCTAGGTTGTTTGGGTGCCTTTTCGTCCACAAAGTCCAAGACAGGGCGCTGCAAAGAGGAGCTGCAAGATACCTGCTGAGTTGAGGCCCCCCACGGCGTAGATAAGGCCAGTAATGGATGTGCAGCAGCGAGGCCTAGTTCTGAAAGCCGGCAGGTGGGGCCGGCGCTCTGGCATGAGGTGATAGTCCTTTGCTTCGTCTACCAGGTCCCTGGAACAAGGCACAAGATGTTATGACAGGAGGTACTCTCCCCACGTGGTCTACATGTGTATTTCCAATCATGGCTTCCCCACCCGAACTGCAGGGGAAATATCGGAGGAGAAGCCTTCTGGAAGGTTTGGTCTTGAACCCAGGTGAGTCCAGGGGAAACCATACACAGCTATTGAAACATGCTCAAAATTGGAGAGGCAGGGTGAGCAGAGCCCATGTCAGCAGGTGTAATCAAAATGAGTATCTTCTAACAAGCACACACCTGGCAGAAGAACAGGGTGATGGCCACAGCAGTTGGCATTGGGGAGGTTCAACAAGCAGCCTGCATCCTGTCACAACGGAGACCCAGCCCTTCCTATACCTATGGCTCGCACCCTGCAATTCGCTATTGCTCACCTAGACTGTGGCAGCAGAAGCCGACTGCTCCTGGTGGATTTCTCTGCCTCCAGTCCTGCCTCTCCATTCCACCCTCCACACTATAGTCCAAGCTGTCTCTAAGAACCTCCGATAGCTACCCGTTGCCTACAGGATGAAGTTCAAATTTAACAGCACCGTTGAGATTGCTGGTTGCGGGGTCCCACCTACCTGTAGCCACACTTCCACCCCTTGCCAAAACACACCTTCATACTGCTTGCACACAGCCACTGACCTCCCTTGAACCCGCTGGGAATATGACAAGCAGTTTGGAGGAAGGTGAACATTGTTCTTTGCTGCTCTGCTTTTATAATGATCCTCCAAAAGGGCTACCGCCTTCTGAGCTGTTTTGGGAGCTCTGCTGTGCCAGGTCAGCACTGATTTACCCAGGGTAAAAGTTTCAGGTGCCGTAAACATGTCCCCCCACCCACTTGCCCATCACTTAGATGGGCCCAAACCCACCCAAGGCCAGCGCCCTAATGTTTACTGGAGACAGTAAGGAGCCCCAGGGAGTCGTCACCAAGTGAGCTCCTGGAGATGCTAGGAAATCTTCAGGCAGCATGGGGGAGGAAGCCCCTTCTGCCTTGATGCTCCCTCATGGCACATTTCTTTGCCCAAGAGGTCAGACTTGGGCTTTTCCGGGCTCTAGACAGAAGACAGATCAATCTGCGTGCTATAAATTAGGACTGATCACTCAATCCTTCCTCCCCTGAGCTGGAACATCAACAGCCTAAGTGGGGCCACGTCCTCTCCTCTGCCTGGACCCCGGCAGCATCCTGTGCAGGCTGATCCGCACTCACCTGCATTTGTGGCAGCAACGCACCATGTCATCCTGCTGTACACGGTCTGACAGGAACTGGGGCCGGCAGAGGGGTAGGCGGATATTGGACAGCAGCTCAGGCAAGCAGGGCCCCCTCTGCTCCCGGTCGTATCTGACCCAGGCCAACGCAGCTTCAAAGACCTGCCGTGGCAGAGATGCAAGCTGTACAGTAACTCCTCTCTCCCCGGGCCGTATCCCCAGGCACCCCACCCAACCACCCTGTCTCCATCCCTCCACTCCCTATATTCAGCTAGTCCCTTGGGTCCATCAATCTTTCCTCCTCCTTGTTTCCTGAAGCCACTGTTTTCTACCTCCCCAAGCTGCCCCATTTGGCCATCTTTTGAAACACAAGCCTCGTGACTATAACAAGCTCCTGGCTTTCATTATACCTTCCTAATGAATGAAAAGCTAGCTGCCGGGGCACCTGGGTGGCTCAGTCAGTTGAGCATCCAACTTCAGCTCAGGTCATGATCTCACAGTTCATGGGTTCGAGCCCTGCACTGGGCTCTGTCCTGACAGCCCAGAACCTGGAGCTGCTTTGGATTCTGTCTCCCCGTCTCTCTCTGCCCCTGCCCCGCTCATGCTCTGTCTCTCTCTCTCTCTCTCAAATTAATAAACATTAAAAAAAAGAAGAAAAGAAAAGCTGTCAATGGTTCCTTATTCCTTTCTGCATTCCACCCTGCCTGCTTTCCTCCTTAGCCCCCTCCCCCACCGCCTCCCAGGCTGGCTAGTTCTCTGTTCATACTGCCACCTTCACATCACCTCCAAGTCCCCTCACCTCCTCCTCTTCTTCTAAACCCACTCCCCTTTTCTTAACGCTGGCTCCGGATCCACGTTCTCTGGAGGTCTCCCTAACAGCTCTAGCCACAAGGGTATGTCCCTCTAAAACCCCTGAAATGTACCACTTGTAACTGAACTGACCCAGGTCACGCTCATTAGTGGAATGGCTAGAGAGGGGCTTGCTCTTGGGACGGAGCTCTTCCCTGTGAATCACAGGGCCCACAAGACCACACTCAGGGCCCACTTTCCCCCTGCTTTTCTGACATTAGGGAAATAAGCAGCCTCCTGGAGCCTGGGGCTCCTCCTGCTTAAGCAGAACTTCACGACAGGCCAGGACTCTCCACTGCAAATACCCCAAGCTGCTCTGCCCTGGACTTTGGCTAGGTTTCCCAACGACTGAACAGGTGGAGGCCTTGTCGGGTGGTGCTCCCAGTGTCCGCAGGGCCAGATCTAAACACCTCACCCCTGCATTCGAGCCCTCTGCTGTGCAGCCCTCGCCCCACTCTGCTCCAGGTAACATCTACTCCCAGTCCTCTTCAGGCGCTTACACCCACCTCTGCTCACCTAAAGGGTCACCCTTCGCTCCTCAGCTAACACCCTGCACTCCCATTTATTCACATTCTTCTCGACCATTCCGATAAGAGGTCTTCTTTGTCCTTCGAGGACCCTCTGATCATCCAAAGGCTCCGCCTCTTCCATCAATTTCAATCTGCTGGCAGTGACCACCGCCTCCAATCCTTTCTGCTCAGTAACTGATGCCAATGAGCCTTTGACAGTGCTCCCTCTCCCCCAACCTCCCTCTCAGGGCCCCCTGCAGAGCCTGGTTCCTCCCCACTGTCATCCAGCACCGGCTCCATGAGTTATGATGTGGGTGCTCTCAGTGCCCATGCTGAGCCTATCTCCCTTAATCACGCCCACCTGGGAAAAAAGTCTCTACTCCGGTGAGGTCCAGCTCTTTAAGCTCACCCCCACCCGCACTCTGCAGCTGACAGAGCTGGCCCACCCATTCTTTTTTTTTTTTTTTTTTTTTTTTTTTTAAGTTTATCTATTCTTTTTGGTAATCTATACACGCAGCATGAGGCTCCAACTCACAACCCCAAGATCAAGATGAGTTGCATGCACCTCTGACTCGGCTCAGCCAGGCGCCCTTTGGCCGGCCCATTCTAAATATGTGACTGCTAATCTCATCGGGGCCACTTCCCACCAAGCCCTCTTCCTTCCTCTAGCTGCATCTCCTTTCCAGCTCCCACAGGGCTGGTGCATGCCTCTTCATCCGACCTCACGTTTTTACTACTCCTCCTGATCCCCATTCTCAGCTGAGAAAACAGAACCAAGCCAGAAGAGAATGTCAATGGAATCTGCCAGCACCTCCCTTCTCACCCCACGCCTCCCTGCTGCCACTGGGTGCGGGGGTTCTTCCTCCTGTGGTGGCGGATGAGAACGGCTGGCACTTCTAACAGGTACACGCCTTGTGCCCTCTGCTCTGCCTCCTCTCGCTTACTGAGGACATTGCTCCAGCAGTCATTCTCCCTTTTCTCCTACATCACCAACTCTTCCCTCTCTTCTGGAAAATTTCCACCAGCAGCCAAATGTACCCGTCATTTCTCTCACTTTAAAAAACAAACCAACCCCTCCTGACCTCATACTCCTCCCCAGCGACTGCCCCGGTGCTCTGCTCTCCTTTAGAATAAGATTCTTTCACGGCAGCATTACTTCCAATGGTAAATGCTGGAAATAACCCGAACATCCAATACGGGATGCGATGTTGATAAAATCAACTGAATGTTAGACACTAACATGGATACAAATGTCCATGAAAGATGTACGTAGTATAATAAAACAAACCCACAATCAACAAGCTGCATACACATCATGATCTTCATTAAAAAAATAACAACTGGGGGCGCCTGGGTGGCTCAGTCGGTTAAGCATCCGACTTCGGCTCAGGTCATGATCTCGCGGTTCATGAGTTTGAGCCCCGCATCGGGCTCTGTGCTGACAGCTCAGAGCCTGGAGCCTGTTTCAGATTCTGTGTCTCCTTCTCTCTCTCTGACCCTCCTCCGTTCATGCTCTGTCTCTCTCTGTCTCAAAAGTAAATAAACGTTAAAAAAAAAAAA